CACATATCGACCAATAATTGCGAGCACTTAGACTGTACTAAAGCCTTCTGCTTTAGATCTGAAAAGCTACGACGCCTAAACGCGATTCTTGCTCGACAGCCATCAGATATTCAGGTAACTTATATTTCATGCAACACTGCGGAGATCTGCCAATTTAAAAATTGCAGAGACTTTACAAGGCAAAAGTGCAGATAGAGCAAGCTGAACGCGAAAGAGAAGAAAAACGCAAGCAAATGCTAGCAGAACGGAGAGGTTTCGGTGATTTCCAAAAACAAATGACTGCTATCAAAAATAACATGAGCATATCGTCAGCGGAAGCAGAGCAGAGAGAGTACCAAGTATGTTGAAGAACATTTCACGAATTAATCTAAGTACTCTTGTTTGTTTAGTTAAAACGTCAGTACTACACCACATACCCATCTGCTAGACGGTTATTCGATGATGATGATGACGATGTTTTTGATGATGATGACGTTTTTGATGATGACTAACACTATTTATAAAGTTATTGTTACTACTACCTTTTTTTGGACATTTATAAAGGAGTAGGTCTAAATAATTTTGAAGCAGTTTTCAACAATGACCATGATCGAAATTTGAAAGAATTATATTTGTTCGTGTTAAACCTTTTGAAAAGTATGCTTATCAAACCCAGATTTCTCCTGAAGGTTGAACACAAATCCCTGTGTGGTCTAAAAGACATGGCGTACAAAAAATGGTGAATCCTTTGTAAACAAGCTACAGTTAAAATTCCATTCCTGTTCGTGTTTCTTGTCTTCTTAAAAGTATGCTTTGACCGCTGTCAGAAAATAGAGTGCTATCCTACTTGTCTAGTACTGAAATTTGAACATTTTGATGTTCTTTGAAACTCGTTTACGTGGAGTGGGGGGAAAAGGGGGAAAGGGCAGAGATGATTTTTATAATGATTGCGAAAGCTATATCCATTTCAACCGATAGATCTTGGTATGTTTTTTGAGATAGACGTAATTCAGAATTACATTGCTTAATTGATCTAAATATTGTACTAACATACTAAATATAACATCATGCCCATTCAGTACTGCACCTGGCTGTAGGATTGCGGTAAGTAGACGAAGGTAGAATTGCTTGATGGTCTATTGGGACTGCCTAGTATGGTCGTAAACAA